CACACGCCTCCAAAGAAGGTTTGGCATCATTAGTTACACTTCAGCCGCGGGCGGGTCTCCCTCTGTGGAGGAGAAGCGTAACACAATTAATATGCATCACTCGGACGTGCATACGTAATTAGAGCATGTGCAACCTTCCGGAGAACCACCAGGGGGCGACAGACAAGCGACTCAGCACACATGTGGGTGGAGAACTCCGGGGCGTAGGTCACGCTCCGGATACCTACCTGCGTGGCGTGAGCCTAGGGGAGTTAGGAGCCAAAGCAGCCTTAGTCACACGTGGACACCCAGGGAGCTGGGTCCCAATGTCTGTTCCAGTGGTTCCACCCCACTCGTCTCAATGGAGCCACGCGGCTGTGGACCAGATAGGGCTCCTCGTGGCTGTCCGTCAGGCCCGTCGATGGGGGCAGGGGATGATTGCTCCAGGGCCTTGTGATCCAAAAGGGTCCCAAGGCTCTGGCCAGTGCCACCCAGGGCCCTTTGGAATTGCGCCGTGCACCCCTGGCAGCGCTGAAGGCTGCTTGTAGGGGATACAAGCAGTGCTAGCCCCGCCCCTTCCACCAGAGGCCCCGCCCCTTCCGGGAACACACAGCCAGCTCCCTCCATCTGGCCCAGGGGCCCGGCAAGTCCGTCGGCCCCCCTGTAACGGGTCACTGAAGCATGTGAGCATGGGATCACCCTGGGCTTGGTTTGGCGCACAGCTTCATCAGCGTGTAACACTAGTGACACCACTGAAGTCACAAGAGTCGGAGCGGCATCCAGGGGCAGGCTGGGGGTTGAGGACGTGCCGCTGTCCATATCCGACCTCCATCCTCGCTTCACAGTCAGTGCCTTGCATTCAGTGCTGCATGCGCCATTCTTTACATGCTGGGGGAGGTACTAGAGGGGTGGCAAACCAGTTCAGGACCCCTTTGAATTTCTCTTTGACCCCCAGGTATTTGAGCTCAAACTAGAACCTGCTGAGGGACTGGGAAAACACAGTCTGCTGTACAACATGGTGGAGATTTCCAGCACTGTAACAGCACTTTGCACACACACACACACACACACACACACACACACACACACCCCCACACCCGACACTGTATTTGCAAAAGGTTTTATGAGCATTAATCTTCTCATCCTACCTAGGAATGTAGGTCGTTATCATCCCCGTTTTGCAGACTGGGGAAAGTGAGGCAGTGAGGCGAGCATGTGACTTGACAAAGGACAGCCTGCCCATCAGTGTCAGAGGTGAGATTAGAACACAGCAGATCCTGGCTCTTAGACCTGGCGTTACTCCACTGGACTGAATTCTCCCGCCCTCAAATGGGTGCCCTATCAGATACTTTGGCTGGTCATGGAAAATGCCAGCTTTCTAGTGGGCTAATCCGTCCGCTGCCAATATGCCTGTGAGACTCCACACCCACCTCGTCTCAACTGCAGCTGGCTGCAGGGTGGAGTATAAGGGATAACGAAAGTGGCACTTTCTTAGCTGGGCGGAAGCAGAAGCACCCAGATGCCATGGGAACGGCCTCTCCTGCCGCACCCGGAGGCCAGCCAGATGCACAAGGCCCGAGAAAACTGTTCTCATCCGAGTGAAGCCAAAGGCTGCTGACGCCAGAAGCTCTGGGTGCGAATCCAGAACCCAAACCCGGACCTTTTCAGCTTTGCCCCTTCACCTCATCACTCCAGAGGGTGGTTGTCTGGGATGCGAGGGCATGATGTCGGCTAACCCTCCCACAGCATCGGTAGCCCAACACACAGCGCTGAGCTCTCTGGAGGTGCTTGGCTTCTGGCTAGAAAGACCCCCTGGCCATGGTGGCTATGTGCTGAAGGAGACACAGCATCTTCTGGGCCAGCTTTCTGGCTCCAGCCCAGACCCGGTCCTCCATCTCCCTTTCTTCAAAAGGGAAAAGCCCTCTGGAAGGACTTCGCTGCCTGGAAAGGAAATTGGACGCCGCTGCTACAGCTGAGCCTCCAAGTCCCTCGCAGCTGCACGGACTTCAGGGACGTCGTTGCAGATGGACCACAGAATAGCGGGGAGGCATTTGGTTTCACGAGGCCCACTGGGGACAGTCCAGGATCACCCCCACCAAAGCATTCAAGAGCGTGGAGAGCGCCTGGTGGTTGCTTCAGGCAGCTGGACACAGGCCGCTTTTCAGAAGAGAGTTGGCGGGAAATAGCTGTGAGGCCTGGGGCCTCTACAGTACGTAGGCACCAGGCGGGCCCTAATGGCAGTGGTCTCTCCTCTTGCCTCCTCTCCCGTCTGTGCAATACGCCTCTCTGTTGCTTTTGTTCATGTACCCTGGGCTGAGGACACAGCCAGGGTATTTCACAGCCTTGTTGCTTGGCACGCAAGACTCGTCACCTTAGACTCAGTCACTTACCCATGATGTAAGTTGCCATCGTGCATATGGACCCCTGACAAAGCTTCATATTTTAAAAAAAAAAAAAAAAAAAAAAAAAAAAAAAAAAAAAAAAAAAAAAAAAAAAAGGTGGGGACTTTTCAGCTTAGAAAAGACGAGATGAACGGGGGATAGGATAGAGGTCTATAAAATCATGACTGCTATGGAAAAAGTGAACAAAGAAAAGTTATTTCCTTGTTCCCATAATAGAAGAACAAGGTGTCACCCAATGAAATGAAGAGGCAGCAGGTTTAAAACAAACCAAAGGAAGTTTTTCTTCACGCAGCGCACAGTCAACCTGTGGAACTCCTTGCCAGAGGATGTGGTGAAGGCCAGGACTTTAACAGGGTTCAAAAAAGAGCTAGATAAGATTCACGGAGGGTAGGTTCATCAGTGGCTATTAGCCAGGATGGGTAGGAATGGTGTCCCTAGCCTCTGTTTGTCTGGAAATGGGTGACAGGGGATGGATCACTGGATGATTCCCTGTTCTGTTCACTCCCTCTGGAGTATCTGGTGCTGGCCATTCTTGACAGACAGGACACTGGGCTAGATGGACTGTTGGTCTGACCCAGTGTGGCCGCTGTTATGTTCTAAATGTTCACAAGGGAGGGAGCAGCTTCTGTGCTTTCTGACTGGTGGGGCTCCCTACTCTAAATGTTTTCCCCTCGCTCTGAACCAGGGATTTGGAGGAGGCCACCTGGCCTATCCAAGCCGGCCCTGTCTCATTTCTCCCTTCAGTGGCTTGCAAGCCCCCTTCCGTGGGTCTGGATCCAGCTCCCTCTCTTCTGTTTGACACGCCAACGCAGGTCAGGCACACGGCTCTTTTCCGCACGCCTCCGGTTGTCCGGGCGAACTCCACATGCATTGAGAACCAGCTGCCAGCAGATGGCAGCGTCAGCAGCATGAAGGCCCCCCGGTGGCCTGTTCCAGCAGCAGCTACTCCCAGGCCCCTGACATACAGTCGAACCCTGATGACACCAGCTCAGATAACCAAAAAACTGGGCAAGCCAGAGAACAGGCGACAGGGCTCCTGCTGCTCGCTCGGGGTGGCCGGGGTTCCCGCCGTCTGCTGTGGGGCAGCTGCGAGTTCGGTTAATACAGATAATGGAGGGTCTGTCAAAAGCGGACCAATCTGCTTGCTTCAGTGCGACCCATCTGCCCTCCTGCACCCCCGGAAGTGCAAGAACATCTGCTAACGGGAAGAGGAGGGAGGGAGAAGCTGTGGAACAGCCTGTCTCCGCGGAACGAGGCGGAGGATGGGTTGAGAGCGCGAGGGCCGCACCGGCTCTCCACTCAGCAGAGACGACGGGGGCAGACAAGGCGTCATCGCAGGAAGATGGCGGGGGTGGAGGGACGCTCCCGAGTCGAACGGGCAGCAGCCGGTGCCACAGGGAGAACGGAGGTGAGTTATTCTGAAGTATTTCATAAAGGCGGGGGCCGGATTGCGTGGCTCAATGGCCAACCCCACAACTCACATGCAGCCCCCACATTGGGGCCCGAGGCAGGGCTGAGAACAGCCGACAAGAGACTAGAGCCAGGCGGAAGGTCAGACCCCAGCCTGCAAGTCGGTCTGAGCGGCCGGCATTCAGTCGGAGCGGAAGGCTGAGGAGTGCGTGGAGGGAGGTTTTGGATGGAGGGATGGGAGCAGTCTCTTAGTCAGGCTGGAGGAACACACTCCTGCCATGGTGCTGGGCCCCAAATTAGCCCATCCCCAAGAGCGCCCCAGATCTCTCGGGCTGCCAGCGCTGGGCAAGATGAGTGTATCATCAGCTTGTGCCCTTTTGGCGCCAGGCTGCACCGAAGCCCGGACAGACCTCATCTTCTCCATGAAACTGCCAGCGGTGGTAAAAATACCACTTCTCGTTTCACATGTGAGGAAAAAGGCCAATGGCGGTGGTAAAAATACCACTTCTCGTTTCACGGGTGAGGAAAAAGGCCAATGAACAAACAAACAAAAAAGCTTAAATGAAATGTGTGCCACAAAGTGCACATGAAGCCCTGCTCTTCAGAGCTAGGCATTGCCAGAATGGGTCACTGGCAGAACTTCTCCGGCACACCGTCTCCAACAAGGACCAGCATCAAATGCTGCAGTGGAAAATATTAGTTTCCCCATAAGGGCCAAGCCTCTTCCCGGCCTCCATCTGTGAGCAGTCGCCTTACTCTTTGAAGCATGAGGATTTATTGCCCCAATTGTTCACCCTGTTTTATGTAATTGTGGATGTTCTCCTTACCCAAATCCATTTTCGGATATTGCTCAGCTTTTGGCTTCAGTGATATCCTGCAGCAAGGAGTTCCACAGGTTAATGACGTGTGCCACAGAGAACAAGCATCTTAGCTCAACTGACTTTCACCTTCACTCCCTCTGAATGGAGCACCCTAGTAGAGGGGTAGTATTTGGTCTCCTACGAACAACATGTTACTTCAGGGAAGAGGCATTTCAGGGCCTGTTTAGCATTCTCCTGGCAATACAGGGAGCAACGAATCATACCAGACAGGCAGTGCCTGCCACAAAACAGCAGCCAAAGACTTATGAGATGGCCTTGTGCAACCCACTATGCCTTTGGCAGCAGAGACTCCATTGCCAAGGCCCGGTGAACTCCTCAAGGATACTACCTGAGATGGAGACTTAGGGATGCCAGCCCCGGGTGCTTCCAAAGAGGATGGTTCCAGCTCATGGTTGACGGTCTTGATCTCGGGGCTGGTGATGGGGGACCCGTCGGGAGGAGGCGAGGGGCTTTTGTTTGCTTTCGCTGGGGTACTGTCGCTGCGGGAGAGAAAGGAAAAGACAGTCAGAACTGGTCGCATCGAATTGTTCTGATCCGTCAGCCTGATCCATGGACTTAGCTGTCTCCCCGCATCCAAGCGGCTCCTTGCTCAGCCTCCCTCATTGTCTTTTTGCAGCAGGACCTCATGCAAACCGCGATCACTCACCTACGCCCCGGCCTGGCATGCATACGGATGCACCTAGGGCAGACACGGTTTCGGCTAGAATATGGGAAATCTGAATTCTGGAACTACCCAACTTTTGACTTTGCAACCTCAATCACACCCCTTTCACGGGGTTTGGGTGCATCGCGCCCTAGCTTTAAAAAACCAACACCACCATACTTCAAAGTTCAACCCCAGAAATTCCAGCCTTGGGTGGTATGTTGACAGCGGCTGCACCCACGGACCTCCACCATGTGCGCAAACAAAGTAGCTGGCAGCAGTAGTAGGTTGTCATCCTCTAGGGTGCGGCACAAGGGGGAGAGGGGCGAGACCCTTTGCCCGAAGGCTCAGGCAGCAGAAGAAAGGAATCTCAGGTCCCATCCCAACGACTAGGCTGCCCGGAGACCCTTTGCCCGAAGGCTCAGGCAGCAGAAGAACGGTGAGACTTAGGAATCTCAGGTCCCATCCCAATGACTAGGCTGCCCACTTTCCCCAACCTTGACCCCTTCTGCCCTATGATTTCTCATGGTCTCGTCATTATAGGCCAACCGTGGCATTTCGAGACTCATGCCAACAGAGGATGCACTTCAGTGTCATGCTTAAACACTCAATTTTAGGACAGGGTGGAAAAAGACCCAAGAAGAGGCATTTAAAGACTCACAGAAACAGCCTGACTGGGTCAAACCGCCCAAGAAGAGGCATTTAAAGACTCACAAGAACAGGCTGACTGGGTCAAACCAAATGTCTATCTGAGACTCATGCCAACAGAGGATGCACTTCAGTCTCATGCTGAAACACTCAATTTTAGGACAGGGTGGAGGAAGACCCAAGAAGAGGCATTTAAAGACTCACAAGAACAGGCTGACTGGGTCAAACCAAATGTCTATCTGGCCCAGTACCCTATCTGCTGACAGTGGCCAGTGCCAGGTGCCCCAGAGGAAGTGAGCAGAACAGGAAATCATAAAGCAATTCCACTCGTCACCCATATCCCTAGCCTCTGACAAACAGAGGCTAGGGATACCACTCCTACCCATCCTGGCAAATAGCCATTGATGGACCTAACCTCCATGAACTTATCTAGTTCTTTTATGAACCCTGTTAAAGTCCTGGTCTTCACAACATCCTCTGGCGAGGAGTTCCACAGGTTGACTGTGCAATGTGTGAAGAAATACTTCCTTTTGTTTTAAGCCTACTACCTATTAATTTCATTTGTTGACCCCTAGTTCAAAGCAAGCACCAGACTTTGAGCTCCCGACCCCACCTCATTCCCCAACTGCAGAGAAACCCCCCAAGAAGCAGTCACTCCATGCTCTTCTGGAGGTGGGAAGTATCTAATGACATTCACACCCCCAGCAAAACAAGATAAAAAAAAACCAAACAGCAGCTTTCTGTGCTAATGGCTCTCGCCCTGTGAGAATAGGGGTGTCCAATCGCTCCCCAACTTCTCCCGCAGCATCTCTTGGAACACTGTCCTGTCACTACCACATCTCTGGCATCGTCTGTCCCAGGCAAGGCCCTGCAGAGGGACTGGGATCCCACCGGTCCCACAGGACCTACTACCTTAATAGCAGAAGTGGGTAAAATGTACTTGGTGGTGGGTGGGAAAAAAAAAAAAAAACCCAGCCACACCAAGGCAATCTGCAGGAAGATATTAAATCACTAAATAGTCTAAGCAAGATTTTAGTGGTAAAAATTGTGCCTGAATTACATTTACAAATACAATGTGTTAACCAACACTGTGGGTTCGTTTTTTTACTAGTGTTGGGGAATTTGTCTCTCTTGCAGGATTTGAGGAATCTAGTATTGGTGTGGGTGGAAGGAGGATAAAAATGCAAGAAACAATGCACTGATAGGGGGCAGCAGGTATTGTGGGGCGGGACAGAAGGGGGATTAAAAGATAATCCCTGGCGCCAGGCAAATCCCATTCCATTCCTTCCTTCTTCCCATCGATGCTACATCCTGAAATCACCAGCAGGGGGCACTGTTGGAGGCACCATTAACTATGCTTTTTACATAACCCCGCCCACTTACACTAGGCGTCCCACAATACCTTGCGTTTGCCAAAAGACATATCTGGCATACGCAGGTAGGAAACGTGTCGCTATCAAGCGACTTTTGGTCTATGGCCTGGGAAGGACCTTCTCAAAGCAGACTCTGAAATGCTCCACAGAGGTCAGGAAGGAACAAAACCGCCAGCTCGGAACTGGGACAAACTGCCAGGTTGGATTTTCGCGCTGGGTGACACGTCGATTCCCCACAGAACGCAAGTCAGCGGAAACGTGTCACTTTGAGAGCACGGCTGCTCCGTCAAGTGCATGCCACATGGCACGAGACAGCTTCCCACAGACTGGTACTGCACAGAGCTCGTCTCTTGTACCATGGCCTGAATGGCTTGGTACAGCAATAAACTTGACTGACATTGGCCGTTAGAGCTTTGGTTCTGTCTAAAATATATTCAGTTTTAGACAGAGCCAAACAACTGACGGCACGCTATCAAGGGAAGCAAATTCACGCAAAGCAAACACACCCTTACTGTGCGGCTGAGCAGGGCTGTCCTTCGAATATAGGTAGCCCTATGCCATACTATTAAACTGGTACCCCTGAGCCCGACGACAGCCGGGGGAGGAGGGAGGGACGGCAAATTTGTTTAGAGCTGTGATTTTATAATCTTCAGCAACACACTAATGAAATATTTGAAAGCACATTTTATGCCTTCACCGCCCACCTTAGCGCCTTGCTTCCCCCGCCCCGGCTTCGCATCCTGCTGTGTTGACTTACACAGTAAACTCCAAAACTGGCCATCTAGACTTGGAGTTGGCAAATGCCCGTTGAACGGCTTCACTGCCGTTTGAACAGCTCTTTCACAAGCGCTGTGTTGTGCTAACGGCTCGGGCAGGCTTTGTCACTTTTAAGTTCACTAGATCCTCTAGGAGGGTGGACATGAAGACCCAACAGTGCCCCAAATCTTCAGGTGCCCAATGCAGCTGCATAGGCATAAGGACGGCCCTGGTGCTGAGACTCAAGGCTGCTAGCCCTCCACCCTCTCTGCCTTGTCTGGTTTGAAACAGCAAACGCCAACATTTGCAGAAAGGACTTCCACAGGCTGCAGCAATTTTGTTAGAAAGGAGGAGACGCCCGTTGTTCTGCTATTTATTCCCAGCCCTGTCGCTCCTCTGCAAACTCCCACGTGGGAAAGGGGTTGGGATCTCGGAAGAGGAGCTAAGATGGGACCATCATTCGTTCGCACCAAAGCGTGATGAGCGCGGGGGAATCGAGGCCAGCGCTACCATGCCCACATGTACCAGGACACAAGATCAGAGACGGAAAGCAGTCAGGTCCCAACACGTGCTCCGGTGCTTGCCAACGTCCCAGCATTACACCGGCGCCAGCTCCACCCCATGAAGCCCTGGCATAGTAACCCAGGGCCATCTGGACCTGCTCTGAGCTCACGCGGTTGCCGTGTTAGGGCAACGAAGGGCACTCTGCGGAGATGCCTGATTGGCGCAGACAGCCATAGCAGGGGTAACACGGGGGTACAGCTCTTGAGGGTTCCTGTCACTGGTGCCCTAGCGTTACCGGACAGCAGTAAGAACAGACGCATCTTGCCCGAATCCTAACTCTTCAGTTGCCCAGCACAAGACTTAACCGAACAAAAGCTGTTGTCACTTACTCATCCTCTTTTATCCGAGGGTCTCAAAAGCACCGTCTAAAAAGCCATTCGTTCCCTCAGCTTCCCTGTGAGAGGTACGATTAGCTCCATTTTACAGAAGGGTAAAAATCCCAGAAGCCCTGGGTCCCAATCCTTTGCTTTAACCACTACACCGCCCTGCCTGTGCGGAGCCGGCGGGGCTCAGAACGATGACTTTCTGAACAGCCTCGGTCTATGCAGAGGGAGGGAGGAAACTCACGCTAGGAAAGGCCTCCGCACGATTACACAACGATCCCCCACTCGGCGCCACCCTTTCTTGTGCGTTCGGTCCACGGTGACCGCACGGCCCGTTTTGCCTGGGAAGGTCCCTTTTGAAGCCTTGGCCCGGCCAGCCCAACTCTTTTGGCCAAAGGGGGAGTTTGTCAGAAAGGTCCGGGGCACAGAGACGTGCCTGGGGGCAAGTGGCAGTGCCCGCCCTGTGAAGGGGAGTGCAGGGCTCAGTGAGCAGCAACAACAGCGTCATGTGGGGGGCACAGGGCTCCACCGTTGCCAGCTCCACACAGGGAATTTGGGGGGTGGCTCAGGCAATTTTGGGGAGGGGGTCCGGATGAGCCATTCGGGCCAGCCTGGCGTGGGTGGGAGGAGGGAGGCGGGCTGGCAAGTGGCAGTGCCCGCCCTGTGAAGGGGAGTGCAGGGCTCAGTGAGCAGCAACAACAGCGTCATGTGGGGGGCACAGGGCTCCACCGTTGCCAGCTCCACACAGGGAATTTGGGGGGTGGCTCAGGCAATTTTGGGGAGGGGGTCCGGATGAGCCATTCGGGCCAGCCTGGCGTGGGTGGGAGGAGGGAGGCGGGCTCGGACTAGCCCCACTTGGTGTCCCATTTTCCCTCTCTCAAGTCATCCTTTGTGGACGCACTCAACAACCACCAGGCCCGGCAACAGGACTGCCAGGGCTGAGGGCCTGGGGCTCTCAGCTACCGTCCTAGCCCCCAGCCCCCCCCCTTCCGCCTTAGGCCCCGCCCCTTTCACCCGAGGCCCCGCCCCTTTCGCCCGAGGCCCCGCCCCTTTCGCCCGAGGCCCCGCCCCTTTCACCTGAGGCCCCGCCCCTTTCAGAAGTGCAGAGTGGGTCTGGCAAATCTGTCGGCCTGTCTGATAACAACCTTCACCATGTTTCCATCTTAGTTACAACATGCATGGAGCCAACAGCTACAACCACGGGGGGAGGGGAAGGGGTGTCACGCTGCTCTGTATCTTGAAACAGAAGTTACAACCAGGTGCTTTTTAAAAGGAAACAGGGTTACCTCCCCCCCGCTGCTGTGTCTTTGTGCTGCGACTCACACCTGCACCCCGGGCAGCCTTTTCCAGCCATGTTGCACTGGGTTCCTGCAAACTGTAATCGATGTCGCAAGAGGCAAAGCAGGGGGAACCCAGGTCCTGCCAGTAAGACAGCGATGGCACCTTATTTCCTCTTACCCAGGCAGTAATGCCGAACACAGTTGGAAGGAAAGGGTCCATCTTGGGCAAATGAAGCCTTTTTAACGGACAAAGCTGCCCCCGTTTCCAATCAGCTTCCGTCCAAATCACACGGGAAGTGAAAGCAGAGCCGCACGGAGCCCAGGCAAAGCCTGGGGGCGCGAATAGCCCTGGAGTCCGAATTCAAAGCCAGACGGGACCTCGAGGGCATCTGATCCGACCTCCTGCACATCCCGGGCCAACCACACCGCCCCTCAGTGCCAAACTCCGCCCAAGCACCAGAAAGGGAGCCGGGATTCACACCAGGACGCGAAAATAGTTAGAGTTAGTCAGACATGCGTTGCTCTCCACGAATCCCACGGGACCTGAAACACAGAGAGTCATGCACGCAACTCCAGGCCTCGCGTTAACACACCCCAGGCTGTTAGCACACGGACTTATATTCCACTCAGGCTCGTCTCAGAGGGATGCTCTGCATACCGGTACCTGCTCATCTTTTTCCGCAGCCGGGAGAACAGTTTAGTTTTCTTTCTGGGGGGGGAGGACAGCACACAATGATTTCCAGCACAGCCACGGGGGAGCGACCGGTAAGCTGCCACGGAGCAGCAAACCTGGTGCCAGATGGCTACTGAATTCAAGCCCTTCCTTCCGGGTTTGGGGTCCGTTAAAGGAGAGAGAACAAAGAACGGGGCTCGCTGGGTGAGGCAGGGACTTGCATGAGCACGGCAGGGCTAAGAGACGCGCGTTTCCTTGGGGGAAGCTCTGTATAGCCCAAGAAAGGCAGATGTGCTGAAAGCCGGGCAGGCGGGGGATCTGTAAATAGTCTCCTCTCTCAAGTGGGCAAACGGGGGCTGAGACGTTCCGGTCCCACAGTGAGCCAGCAAGAAGCCAGGAACCCCGACTCTCAGCTCCTCCTTCTCCCCGACCGGTACTGAAACCAGCATAGAGGCTCCCCTCTATTTATACCAGTGTTTCTTAAACTTTTTAAAACCGAGGAACACCAAACAATTTTTTTTTAAATGAGGAACACCAAGGATTTTTTTTGAGGGGGGGGGAAAAGGTCAGGGGGGAAAAAGGGTCAGGGGAAAGTTATTGAGGAAAAAAAAAGGTCGCCTGCCCCTTTAAGGGTGGCCATTTTGAATTCTGTTCTCCGCGGCACACCTCTGAACACAGTTTAAGAAACACTGATTTACACTCTCAAAGCACATCGGCGTTTGCTCCGCGCAGCAGGGTTCCTCGTGAAGATAGCCCGCTAACCTAACAGGGGAGCCGGCCTATTTCTCCCCCCATCTCGATCCATTTCCCTGGCCCCATCCCTAGCTCCTTCTCCCGCGTACACAAGCCAGGGGGACCACCAGGCTCTGCAATGAGACAGGGAAGGGGCCTTTCCCGAGTCCCAGTGGACAAGATCCACCACCAAGAAGCAGAGGAGTCACCTGGAGAGGTGGAAATGCCCGACTGCGCTTCCTGCCATGTGCAAAAATCTACCCCCCTGCCTGGGTATCTGTCTGGAATGGCTCTACGGGAAACCTGCGCCAGGCAGGGTGAAAATCATGAATATTGGGAGCAGTGGCTCCCGGCCCCTGCGGTGAACGCCCTGGCCCCCACCCCCTGCTGCTTTCACCCAGGCTGGGCCAGGAGACCCACAAATCCACGGAACCGCCAAGAGTAACTCCACACATCAGGAGGGTCTCCCGTATTTCAGGATGGGCTTGGGCCGTGGGTAGCACCCCAAAGCAGTGCGGTAACCGGAGAGAGGAGGATGCTTTTCGGATTGCAAAGATCCCTTTAGCTCTGCCTCCGAGCACCTGCAGAGTGTTTCACCCAGGCTGGGCCAGGAGACCCACAAATCCACGGAACCGCCAAGAGTAACTCCACACATCAGGAGGGTCTCCCGTATTTCAGGATGGGCTTGGGCCGTGGGTAGCACCCCAAAGCAGTGCGGTAACCGGAGAGAGGAGGATGCTTTTCGGATTGCAAAGATCCCTTTAGCTCTGCCTCCGAGCACCTGCAGAGTGGGGCACGTCTGGGACAACCAGGCATGGGGGGTGGAGGGGAATGGAGCCAAGACTGTGACTTTCTACACATAGAGGGTTTTCTGTGTTCGTTCCCCCCCGCTCAGCTCTCCCCACACGCCCAGGTGCTCTGGCTACAGCGGAGGGAGCAGGGCTGTCTCCTGTTGCACTGGGTTCCTGCAAACTGTAATCGATGTCGCAAGAGGCAAAGCAGGGGGAACCCAGGTCCTGCCAGTAAGACAGCGATGGCACCTTATTTCCTCTTACCCAGGCAGTAATGCCGAACACAGTTGGAAGGAAAGGGTCCATCTTGGGCAAATGAAGCCTTTTTAACGGACAAAGCTGCCCCCGTTTCCAATCAGCTTCCGTCCAAATCACACGGGAAGTGAAAGCAGAGCCGCACGGAGCCCAGGCAAAGCCTGGGGGCGCGAATAGCCCTGGAGTCCGAATTCAAAGCCAGACGGGACCTCGAGGGCATCTGATCCGACCTCCTGCACATCCCGGGCCAACCACACCGCCCCTCAGTGCCAAACTCCGCCCAAGCACCAGAAAGGGAGCCGGGATTCACACCAGGACGCGAAAATAGTTAGAGTTAGTCAGACATGCGTTGCTCTCCACGAATCCCACGGGACCTGAAACACAGAGAGTCATGCACGCAACTCCAGGCCTCGCGTTAACACACCCCAGGCTGTTAGCACACGGACTTATATTCCACTCAGGCTCGTCTCAGAGGGATGCTCTGCATACCGGTACCTGCTCATCTTTTTCCGCAGCCGGGAGAACAGTTTAGTTTTCTTTCTGGGGGGGAGGACAGCACACAATGATTTCCAGCACAGCCACGGGGGAGCGACCGGTAAGCTGCCACGGAGCAGCAAACCTGGTGCCAGATGGCTACTGAATTCAAGCCCTTCCTTCCGGGTTTGGGGTCCGTACAAGGAGAGAGAACAAAGAACGGGGCTCGCTGGGTGAGGCAGGGACTTGCATGAGCACGGCAGGGCTAAGAGACGCGCGTTTCCTTGGGGGAAGCTCTGTATAGCCCAAGAAAGGCAGATGTGCTGAAAGCCGGGCAGGCGGGGGATCTGTAAATAGTCTCCTCTCTCAAGTGGGCAAACGGGGGCTGAGACGTTCCGGTCCCACAGTGAGCCAGCAAGAAGCCAGGAACCCCGACTCTCAGCTCCTCCTTCTCCCCGACTGGTACTGAAACCAGCATAGAGGCTCCCCTCTATTTATACCAGTGTTTCTTAAACTTTTTAAAACCGAGGAACACCAAACAATTTTTTTTTAAATGAGGAACACCAAGGATTTTTTTTGAGGGGGGGGGAAAAGGTCAGGGGGGAAAAAGGGTCAGGGGAAAGTTATTGAGGAAAAAAAAAGGTCGCCTGCCCCTTTAAGGGTGGCCATTTTGAATTCTGTTCTCCGCGGCACACCTCTGAACACAGTTTAAGAAACACTGATTTACACTCTCAAAGCACATCGGCGTTTGCTCCGCGCAGCAGGGTTCCTCGTGAAGATAGCCCGCTAACCTAACAGGGGAGCCGGCCTATTTCTCCCCCCATCTCGATCCATTTCCCTGGCCCCATCCCTAGCTCCTTCTCCCGCGTACACAAGCCAGGGGGACCACCAGGCTCTGCAATGAGACAGGGAAGGGGCCTTTCCCGAGTCCCAGTGGACAAGATCCACCACCAAGAGGCAGAGGAGTCACCTGGAGAAGTGGAAATGCCCAACTGCGCTTCCTGCCAGGTGCAAAAATCTACCCCCCTGCCTGGGTATCTGTCTGGAATGGCTCTACGGGAAACCTGCGCCAGGCAGGGTGAAAATCATGAATATTGGGAGCAGTGGCTCCCGGCCCCTGCGGTGAACGCCCTGTGGCTCCCGAACTCACCGCAGCTGCCGGGA